CTCTGCACAAACATCCTCCATTATGCCATCTATCCTCTCCCCATAATAAAACTCCCTCAAGCCTAACATTCAAGGACAAGACAGATAACCAGAGAACTAGATGACCTTTAAAGTTTCCTTCCACCCTTGGAATTTTGTTATCAACCTAATCCACTCTCAACTCCAAATGCATCCCCCCTTTATTTTCCCATAAAACGTTTCAGAAGTGTGGTTTTCAGAACAGTCTTCAAAGTTGAAAGAACCATGGGGCTAGCCCGTGAAACCTACAAGTGCACCCCCAGAAGACTCACCAAAGGTTTCTGCAACTGTACTCTACCTCTGTTCCATGGGGACGACCTCCAAATCGCCTTGAAAGGATTAAACTGTGGCACGAAGTTACAGGCCCCCTTTCCACACTCATGCAAAGAGCCCTGAAACCCTGGGGGAGACAAGTGCTCACCAAGGGACGCCTGTCCTGTCTACTTTAGGAAACACCAAGAACAAATAAGTCTCACCACGTCGACAGTCTGATCAGTCAACATTGAAAATTTCAAAACAATAAAACAAAAACATAGTGCTTCAATTGGGGGAGGTGCAAGCGAAATAGAAGTGCACCCTCACTGGCCTGTGCTGTTGGCCTCCCGGGTTTGCAGCGTGCTTCCCTCTTGCCTTCCCCTGGACCACATCTCTCCCTACAACAATCTCCTGCATCTCCATAACGCGAAATCCCCAGCTGTGGTGCGGCCGGCTCCTCCCAGCCTGGCCCCGGACGTCCCTCCGGCCCAGCCTTTCTCTTGGCGGGACCCCGGCAAGAGGGCCCCCTCCAGCGTCCAGCTCACCTCCCTATCCCTTCCCAGACCTTTGGGCGCCCCTACAGGACTCTATCCCGAAGCCGAACCTCGAAGAACCAAGCCCACGATGCCCGTCGCGGGTCCCACACCCCCCCCTTCCTTCTCCCAGCACCTCGTCCTCCATGCACCCGGCCCCCGGGGCTCCTCGTCTTCGTCGTCCCGGCTTGTACCGCCCCCCGTCGGGGGCTCCACCCCCCGCCTGCCCCCGCCCCCAGGACGGCCCCCTCCCCACAGCGCGCTGTTTGCGCCCTC